ACCTTTAAAAAATATAATAATTTTTCAAAAATAATTTTCCATTTCCCCCTAAGTGCCCTCTAATTAATTAGTAATCAAATCCAATTAATTTTTATAATTTAATTAATATAAATCAAGTCATTTAAATAAATATCATGGATCAAATGCATGAATAATAATTAATTAACAATTATATATTCCATGCATTTCATATATCACACAAATAAATAAATGACAGACAAAAATAAATAAATGAAATGGCCAATGGATTTAGCTTTTAACATTTTAAAAACTAAATATTTACAAAGTGCTATAATTATTGCATCCCATTAAACTCCCACTATCTTTAAATAATGGAGAATAATGTTAAAATTCACTTTGGGGCAATAATTCACTCATTAATGAGCGAAACCAGTACAAAATAATCATAAAAACAAGCCTGGAGGTCCACCGTTACGTCTATGCACCTGCAGGAGCCAAGAAACAAGTCCCAATAGCCTCCACGTGCGCCCACGCCCCTATCACGCGCGACCACGCACTCAAATAATCCTACACGCGCTAGGAGGGAGTGGCAGCGCGTGGCACGCGCTACCACGCACTATGTGGCGCTGGACTTGGTTGGCGCGTGGTCCTCACGCGCTAGATGGTTGGGTTTGCTAGGGCGCACCGTGAGCTTGGTCACACATGATCTCCTTTCGCCGCATGATGTCCATCCAATGCTTGTGGATCCGGTTGCACCAAATCATGGTGCACCGCGAAACACTACATCTACCGTCCTCCTTTCCGGCGATGCCCTTGCCGTCGGCGACACTCCGATCGCCGGAAAACCACAGGAAAAATCCAGAATAATTTAAAAAAATTCCAAAAATTATAATTTGGCCCAAAAAATTCAAGAAAAATTTTAGAAAAATTCTAAAAAATTCCAAAAAATTCTTGAAGTCAAATTAAAACCTCTTGGACCTTCTTGAAGCTTCATAGCATCCTTTGATGAATAATACATGCCTTTAAATTAAAAAATATGTACACTTGAAATACAATGGAAAAAATTAAATTACATCATTGAACTTTCAAACAGTAAAATCAAAGCCTTAATTACATTCATCAAAATATAAAATTACATTCAATTAACCTATAAGGTTCATCCATGGCCTAAACATACATCAACATTCATTCACAATTATACATACATCATCATACATCAATAAATATAAATATGCATATATAATTTGGATCCATAAATGATGATTTTGATAAAAATATGATCTCTAGTAATGAATCAAACCATACTCTGATACCACTGTAGGGAAACGTGTAAGTTTTAAATACTTTCTGAGGGATTTTCATACATAGATCTTGATTCATCACATAGAGACAAGTTTTATGTAAAAATAAAATATGATGTATCATTCAATTAATAGATTGAATACTTATATCAAAGGTTTGAGTAAACCTTAAATCTCTGCTCTAAACTGAATGTTTTCACTTATTGTAGATCCCCTTACTAAATGCCTTCTCCTTAGATCTCCATCTTCTTGGTAATGGTCTTGCCTTTAAGAATTACCCATAAGCCTCCATGAATGACCTTGAAAAACTAGACTTGTGGGAGCCTCCATTATATGAGAACACTAACCCAAAAAATCTAGAGAGAGAAAATATATTCTTTCTTTTCTTCCAAAAGTTTACCTTAAAATATTCATGAACCCATGTATATATAGGCAACATAAAAATAAGAAAAGGAAACAATAAATCCTTCTCAATCTCTAATTCACATATCTCAAATCTAATAGGATTCCAATATCAAGTTGGGTTATGAGTGATAATCTTATTGAGCTTATTATTTTCTTGGCTACAATGAATTAGTAATCGGTCCCGTCCATGGACCCAATTAAATTAATTTATTAATTAATTTCTACTCCACTAAAAGAAATTAATTGAACTCCAATTAAATAATAAATAATCTCTAAGTCAATATTGCACTTTGACCCCTCTATGCATAATTAGTTATCGGATAAATAAAGCCATCAATCCAACTGCTTAATTAATATATTTATGTTGGTGCCTTGATTATTTCTGGCTCGAACATAATAAAACATTCATTTGATAAAAATAATAATTTAAATAAATAAATAATAAATCATTTTGTCTAAAAACACACGAAGGCCTTCGAATTTAATTTATGATCAACCATAATTAATACAAAATAAATACAAGTAGCATTGATGCAAATATTGAGAATATAACCCTCTAACTATTAATTACATAACTACCCAAAGTGTCGGTCTAGGGATCCCGAAGTATTCGCTGAACAAATCAAAGTAATTATTAATTAATAAAAAAGTTTATACCTCTCTCATGCTTAAGAGTCAAATGCCATGACAGTGATAGGGAGCAGTTGCATACGAAGGCTCTCGCAATATATCTCAACCTAACGTGAATCCAGTTCAAGTCTTAGTTAATAATGAGTCCATCCATTATTACTGACCATGAACAAGTTATGATTACTATTTATATTCTTGTATTGATCGTCATCACATACATATATGAATATCTCTTGTAATCAAGTGGACACTATCAATTCCATAATGAAACGAAACATAATACATTGAATTCACCAATTATTTAAATCATAAATATTTCAGATATGTCAAGAACATATGTCACTATAATCCAAATAGGAATTTTCTATCCTAGGGCATATAAATCCCAACACATCCATATAAATAGGAGTTGCAAATGAAGAACAAATTTTAGACACTAAACTCTCATTTCGATAGTGAATTGCCAAATCATATATCCGTAACAGAGTTGGTACAGTCTCCATCACCTCCTTAACTAGATTCACATTTTTGTTCCATTTTTTCAAAATAATTTGCCGCCCCTCAAATGTGTGGATTCGAGATAAAACAGTCTGTATATCACACTCATTCTTGAATCTCACCATAAAGAAGTCATCCTTTAGATACACAAGCGTAAAGTCCTTAGACCAATATTTTGAAACAAAAGCTTTGAAATATGGGTAGTTAGGTTTCTTGCCTACGACGTAGCCCACCACCGAGGTCTTCCAAAACGTTACTTTTTCTGCAACATCTTCTTCAGTTATCGAAACTTTAACCCCTCGACATTCTTTGTGGAATTTCAAAATTTTGAAGGATGACGATGCAGTATTGTCAAAAAAACTACTAAAAGTAGGACGAGTTACGTAAAAACCAAAGGAAACCCTAATCTTTGCTTAATCGCCTGAAAGAGAGAAAAAGGGCAAAAAGGGAACCCTCGCATGAGAACATCATTCGGCCAAAGTCCAACTGGTTGTACTTTGAAACTAAATTTTTATCGAAACTTCTATGGCTATCCTTGCACAATTTTAAAACTTCTTTTTACCTATTGTTAAGACTCTCGTGTGTGTGTGTGCGCGCGCGCCATGTATCTCTAACCCTAATTGAGAGATTGGTTGCTTCAGTTGAAAAATAAGATTTTCATCTTTTACATGAATACATAAGATTTTTAAGAGAATTTTCAGAAAAACCTGATTGTATATTTTTTAGATCACATATTTAAATACCAGTGATTAAGATTCAACTAATCAACACAGAATCTTCAGAGTCTACATTATATTACAGATTGATCAAAACAACATTTTTTTTCATAAACCTTCACAAAATCCAGATTTATTTAAAAAATTCAAGCAAATATATATATATATATAAAGATATGCATAGTGATGGGCCATAGGCCGAGTAAGAAAAACAAAAGGGTCACGCAGGCTCAAGAAACAATGCTACTAACCCAAACAAGGAACAAGCATATAAGCCCATCACCATACAATTGAAACTTGAGACCGTTAGAACAATATATCATCTACTCCGGTGAGAACACGGCCATTTCTGGTGACCAGCTAGAGGCAACTAGCTAATTGTGAGAGTCTAGGGGTCGCGGCGGTGGACGGATGAATGAAGAAGGCAGATCCCAGACATTACGAGCTCGCTGTGCAGCAGATAATTGCTTCTGATTCCTCTGAAGATTATTGAATTCCTTAATGCCCAAAAAAAGGTAAACAGAGGCTGATCGTGCTAATTTTTTTATGGCAATTTTGATACTCTTCGAAGACCAATGGTGAGAAGCCCAGAAAATGAAGTCATTCCAAGCTGATTAGGTGTAGAATCCGCATGTGTTCTGTATGTGTGACCAGATAGGTGAAGTGAATGAGCATGAGAAAAAGAGGCGATTCCTCTGATGAGAGGCAAAGTGGCAATGATTAGGTATGTGCTTGTATGCCATGGATTTGCGGTCAAGGGTGGGCAATTTATTGAGGATAACTAACCAAAGGATGACTCTGTGCCTTGGTGAGCGGGTCTAGTGATTGATGCTTTGGTGTCAAAAATTCATATTTGTAGGAAGAAGAGGTTTTGATCACAATTCGAAGAGATCAAGGCGTTTGTGGAGGCTAGTTGATCTTCCAGCTATTCTTCTTCCATGATCAAGGAAATAAGCCTAAAGTCAAGTGCTCTTGAACAGAGGAGTTGCAAAGGCAAAGTTGTTAATCGATTGGTTCTTAGTAGAGTGAAATGGTGTGAGCCTAAGTTAGAGTCCATCGTACTTTACTTCAAGTGGATCATTTTGCTCGAGACAGCAGAGTCTCCTAAGTTTTTCCCAAATAGATAGTATGCCCAAAATGTTCTTCCAAATTTTTGAATGACCATTCAAATATGAATTTTGACACTTTAACCAATGCAAATTTTTTGTGTCTACAACCAGAAACATGTATTCCCCTTCCAAATGATAAAATTAGTATTATTTTGGTTCTCATTCGGGTCTATGAAAACAGCAACACTGCATCCTAACAATATATACATATACATGCACATACTATGAACCCTAGCTAAAGAGCTATGTATCTTGTTGCTGATCGACATTTTGCTTTGAAATTGAACTTTGAAGGAGACAAGGAATTAATCATTGGAAGCTGAACTCTGTTACTAGCAAAAACTCAAAGAGGGAAGGAACTTGATCATTGTAAGCCAAACTTTGTTACTAGCAAAAACTCATAGAGCTGATTATATTTATTACTTCAAATTACAAAAAACAGCCAAGTATACATTATTCAGTAGTACTGTCATTAGAACTATTACAGTAGGCTAGGCAAGCTCTCTCTCTCTCTCTCTATATATATATATATATATATTTATGATAGTTACGAGGTCACCTAATGTCACTGTGTGTAAGTACTAAAACACAGGTTATTAATTAGCTGGGTAACATTAGAGATGTATAACTCTTGCCCGCTTAAGCCACGGGACTAGGCTCCCCTCGACGTGAAGACTAGTGATCTCATTAGCTCCTCCAGCCAATTCACCACCAATGAACACTACCGGCACCATATTGTAACCACACCTCGACAGAGCCTGCTCGATTTCTCGGCCCCTTGGTATTTGATCGAGCTCGTGAATGGCCGGGTCAGCGCCGAAGTTCCTAAAGAGACTTATGATAGTGTGGGACATGGGGCAAGAGCTCTTAGTGAAGATCACGAGTGGCCTTTCAGACACCATTCTCTTTACTCTCTCCATTAATTGCAGTGAATTGAAGAAAAATTAAGCTATATAGGAAGTATCAACTTCAAGTACTGCCAAACAATGACACAGATCGAGCAATGTGAGTTGTGATGATTGAGAGAAGACTGTGGTTTTGCTATAATGAATATTGAGCCCCATGGGGTAATTTATAGGATGGAAATGGTAGTGGATTGTACAATTTGTTTGCTAGAAAAAAGTGGCATAATTGATGGAAAAGAGAATATTTTTTCAATTACATTTCTGAGAGAGATGGATCGATACCTACTGATACGCAATAAAAGTTGCAAGATAACGAATCTGTCACACGGAGAGGGACTGTCTTTTGGTACGGTTTCGTATTGCATGGTGACAATCATCCACTGCTGTTTCTTTTATCTATGTTCTGTAATTCTAAAGATGGTATATATATATTTATATATACATATATATTTTTTCAAGGTAAGAAGTGTTATATGTTAGATTAAAATGTAGAATTGTAGATACAGGGAGTTTAAGTCTGGAATTTCGAAGTATCATCAGAGGCACTAATCCACCGAGTTATCCAGATAACTGCAAAGATGGTATATGACTTTATAGAAAATGAACAATGCAAGGATATATACATGCATGGTATAGCTGTGCTTCTGTTAATGTTTTAGTTACCAATCCCATCGATCAGTAAGGTTGCTTTTGTTAATTATCTCAAGTGGTCCAATTTTTTCCCACTAGGAATATTTTCTTCTTTATCTAACTAGTTCTGTTATGGACGAATCTGCTGAGTTGGGGAAACAATCTGAATTTATCCAAATGGGAACCTTTCTTTTCTTTTTGCACTTGGTTGATGAGAATATGAGAAACAATTAATTGAATAGGAAAGAAAAAAAAAAATTGTGTGATTGAAAGTGTGATCCAAACACTTAATTACCAAAAAAATAAAGGGTTGACGACACATGAAAGAAGATTTATAAATGCCCATTATTTTCAAAATATTACATTCACCACTCCTTTTGAATGCCTAAATAATAGGGTCATCTAGGGATGGTAGTTTCCTTGACCCGGCGGGTTTTTGCCCCATTCCGCTCTTAATGAGATGGATTTGGTAGCTCAATAAATGAGATTGGAGTGAATATGATAAAATAATTGGAAACTTGAAATGGGTTTGGGGCGAGGGCGGATTTAGAGATGCCTCCGCCCCTGCTTATATATACCAATAGTAAAATTATATATATATATATATATATTATAAATATATATTTAAGTGTTAGTTAATATATTACAAGTAATATTTACTACTTATTAGAACTCTAAAATTGGGCACGTGACTCAATCTTCAACCAATCAATCAAGGATTCAATCACCGAGGCCCAAGAAATCAACTTCACTCTTAAAGATCACAAATTACAAAACCCTAGGAAATACCAAATGCGAGAGAAGATTGAAGAGACTACTATTGTTTTTGGTGTGCATGGATGGAATGGAATAAGAATGGGAATAGAATGAGAATGACCATTCTAATTCTATTATTTTGTTGTAAATATGAAATATGTAGGAATAAAATGATAATAACCATTCTAGTGTTTGGTTGGACCAATTTAAAATTTAAATGGAATAAATTACAAATTGAATTCTCCAAAATATCCCTCTTCGTAACAAATAAATTAAATTAACAAAATGACATTCTTCTATAATTTTTTAAAAATAAATGGTGGCAGTGGCGGTGGTGGATGGTGATGACGATATGATAGTGGTGAAGGAGGAAAGTGGCAGCGGTATAGGTGGTGGTGTTGGAAGGCGGCAATGGGGGCAATGGTGGAAGGTGGTAGCGGCGGTGGTGGTGGAAGGAGATAGTGGTGTAGGAGATGTGGTGGAAGGTAGTGGAGGAGGTAGTGGTGGTGGAAGGTAGTGGCGGTGGTGGAAGGTGATGGCGGTGGTGGTGGTGAAAGGCGTGGCGGTGGTGGTAGTGAAAGGCATGGCGGTGGAAGGCAATGGTGATGGAAGGCGGTGACGGTGGTGAAAGGCGGTGGATAGTGGTGGTGGTGGAAGATAGCGGTGGTGAAAGGTGGTGGCGGCGGTGGTGGCTGTGGTGAAAGTTGGTCCCTAACCTATTATTCGCAAGATAACGAAACAAAAGATACAAAAACAAAATAAATAACTAACCAAACCTACAAGCCTCTGCTAAAATCAGCAGATCCTTTTATTCCAACACTTGACAGTAAAAGACTAAAACAGAAACCACCTCAGCCTCCAAACCATATCTTCTTCAGCAAAGGACTTAAATTTCACTCTATTATAAAAAGTTGTCACCAATTTCTTATTGTGAACCATAAGATGGTGAAATGCAGCTTGCTGTATTTCACCTAAGTATTCTATCTCGACAAGAATGACCTCACTATAATCGGCAAGAGTCGAGATATTGTAGAATAACCTTTCCTGATTTTACATTCAGCTCCATCGGCAGGACTATATCATGCCCAAAAGTCCATTGATTGGCAAGCATAACCTCACTATAATCGGCAGGAGTCGAAAAATGTTATAGAATAACCTTTGCTTATTTTACATTCAGCTCCATCGACAAGACTACATCATGCCTAAAAGTCCATTGATCGACAAGCATGACCTCACTATAATCTGCAGTAGTTGAGATATATTGTAGAATAACCTTTGCTGATTTTACATTCAGCTCCATCGGCGGGACTGTATTATGCGTAAAAGTCCATTGATCGGTAAGTATGACCTCACTATAATTAGCAGGCTGAAGTGGAGCATATGAATTAACTAAATTTTGTTGGGGGTTTGCGATCACATGCCCCTGGCAGCTGCTCGTAGTGCAGGTTGGATATTTCTCAATTGATTTTGATTACCCCTAGCTCTTGAGGTTCTCTCTGAGGCAAAATTAGCAATGCTTTCAAGCATTACTGATTCTGATTTTACTGGTGAATCACCGATGGTTGCTATATTAGAATAGTCTGCATCAATGGTATTTTCAGTATTATCGGCGATTGTCACCGAGTAAACTAATAGTTACACTCGGATGACTAGGCCCTACTTGAGAAATGTTTATCAACGGTAAAGAAATATGTTAAAAAATTGATTTATGAGCTGTCGAGTTTTCACCTTTAACAAGTGCTCAAATATTGCACATTTTAGAACCTAAGTTAGGGTATTTTAGTCCAATCATCTATCTTACTTTCCCGTTTTAGCTATAATTTTTGTTTTTGACTATTTCAGGTCAATAAGGTTCAAACAGGCAAAAAACAACCTATTGAGCCCTTTTTGGAGTCAAGAAGAAAATCCAGAAAAAGACAGAAAATTTACCCAGGAACAGTCTCGATCGATTAAAGATTCATCCACAATTGTTCGAAGGCTTTGCGATCCATCAAAGCCACGTGAGCAAAGGGATAAGATTGCCACCTCATTGTTCGACCAAATTGGCGATCGATCGAAGCTTTTGGCAATCAATTGCAATGCCACATGTAGCTAAGCGGATAAGGTTACCAGTTGTCAAGATAAGCATGTCACGTCATTCACGATCGATTGAAGCCATTGACGATCCATCGAAGACTCCGGCAATCAATCAAAATCCTACTAGTAGTGAGCTGTTTAATTCCCGAACGCGCTCGAATTCCACCTAACTTTTGGCTGCGGGATTAGACCAATGAAAAGGCTATTTTCTGACTTGTTGCCTACACAAAGGGGCTTGTATTTAAATCAAATTGAACCATTTTTGTTAGGGTTCCAAGTTTTGTTCTAATTTTTGTTACATTTCATATAGCTAGACATAGTTTCTCCCTCTAGAGATTAGGGTTCTTAAAGAAGAAAAGAGGCAAGAAAAGAGGAAGAAGGTGAAATCAACCATGAAGATAGCCCTTGAGGGTTGCAAGACACCATCTATGAGTGGCTAAATCCTCTTCTTATGGCTTGGAAAAACCCTAGGCTAGTCCTCTAAACCATGGATCTTTGACATTTTTGGGGATTCTATGTTGTAATAAATGTTTTAACTATTTGAATATATAAATCTTGATTTTATCTATGATTTGTGTGGATTAATTCTTCCAATCAACTCTTTAATTTAATTTACATGTCTATGTGTGATTAAATTGAGGGTCATGTCTCTACATTAGATTCTCTAAATTTAATGCATGTCTATGTGTAATTGAATAGTGAATCTAGTAATGGTTATGCATGATTGTTTTTAATGGATACTCTTGTGAATTAATTTGATGGACTATGCTCATACCTTATGGATTGTTGTAATACCCCTAATTTCAAAAGGATAGTCATAGTATTTAATTTGTTGTTTAAATTACATTTTTTATTTATTATTTGATTATTTGATTTATTTAATTGATTGTTGCTTGAAATTTGACTTATTTGCATAAATTGTTATTAATTTCATTATTTGACTATTTGTTTGAAATTATTTGATTATTTGTTTTATTTGAATTATTTGTTTAAGTTAATTGTTAATTATTAAATTGTTTTATTTTATCCAATCTCATTATTTGTTCTGCCGTAACGTGACTTTAGGGTTAGTTGCATACATATAGTACACAGTTCATAGCCGATATAGTTTATAACCTAGTTTTCTATGGGCTGAGTGGATTATGTTTAGGGTTTAATTGAACCTAAGGTTAGTGGCTTATAAATATTCAAGTAGTATTCTGACTAGGGTTTTAGAAAAAAAACTATTACGATATAATAAGGGCTGAGGGAATTGGAGACGGCTGAGAAGGAAAACAGTGAGCCAACAGAGAGAGTTTCGCCGGAAAACTTAGACGAACGTCGGTGTAAGGCAAGTTCTATCCTTATTCTCTCCCGTAGGTTTCGTGTTCTTTGCATCCCTGAATAATTCTAGGGTTGATTTAATCAATAAAACGTTATCTGTTTATGCTAGAACTTGAATTAAAACTGTATGGCTGCATGCTTGCTTAAACTGCTAAAATGTGTTGTTTGCTTGCATAGTTCTCTGTTTAAAGCCCATGTATGTAGTGTAGTTAAGAGTTAAACATGGACTGGAATACTCTGGGATTAGATTACAGCATCTAGGAACCATCGCAGTAGGACAGAGAAGTTGCAGAAGGTGTCTAAGGAAGAGGGAAAACAAAGAGACGCGACAGAGAGGGAGAGTGCCGGCTCTCCCTTGGAGAGAGCC